AATAAAACGGCCTTCCTTGAGGGTTATCTGCTGAAGCACCGTGAGCTTGGCAAGCGACAGCGGGAGTACAAGAAGCTGCTGTCCAGCAAGCTGAAATCGCGCAATGAAACGATCATCGATGCCAGCTATGAGAATACCATCGATCGTCTCGAGGAGGAGAAGAATGATCTGCGCGCTCAAATTTGGGTGGCAGCCGGCACAACGCACATTAAAAAGGACAAACGCTATTTGGCCCAGATACGTTGCCATGTGGAATGCCAGGAGAACCTGGCGGAGGATATTACCAAGCTAAAGACATCCATATGCAATATGGAGCGCGAAATCAGTCGTGTGAGCAAACAGATCTACAATCTCAATCGATTGACGGTCCCGGAGCAACAGCACCAGGCACATGTGGCCAAAGTGCGCAAGAAGATGGTCATTTTGGAGAACTCGCTGGAGGTGGGCGTTCGCCAGGAGTGCGGCTTTACGGCGGCCAATGCCGAGCTGCGTGAGCAACTCATACGCATACTCAATCATCGCACGTTCTTCAACGATTCGTACACGAAGATGGTTCAGAAACTAAACAGCGACAAGAAGTATCTGATAGATCTAATCGAGTATGCACTGAACACCTTTGATGGCTGCATTGATGTGTACGAGAAAATCGATAAGATAACCAAGCGCGAGTCCAAGGAGCGTGAGCTGCGTCGCATTGAGCTGCAAAGCATTATGCGCAAAGTGGCTGCCGATGCGGACAACACAGCCTTCGTGGAGTGCAAGGGCAGGGAGAGGGTGCTGGCCGATCTGCCAGACAAGGAGTATAGGCGTCGCGATGAATTCCGTCGCAAACATAACAAAAAGATCAATCTGTATAACTCGGTGCTCAAGAAGATACTCGATTACACCAACTCCAGCAATGTGGAGGAGGTAATCGAGAAGTTCCAGCAGCAGGAGAGTCTCTATTACTCGTTCTTCAACTATGCCAACGAGATGAGCTATCATATTACGCTGCTTAACAACTCGGTGAATCGCCTGTTCGAGGATATTATCGATCTGAAACGCGAAAATACCAACACGCTGCAAGATCAGATCGATATGATTAACTCCCTTGAGCAGCAGGTGCGCAAGAAGCAGGCATCTAACGTGGAGCTCCACAAGACGCGCGAAAGCAATGACACTCGTCTCGAGAATCTGTTGCAGGGCGTTGAAATGCTGTGCGACATGTGCTCGGTGGATACGACGCCTTTGAATGAGCTACTGGGCGATCACTCGCACGTAAATCTAGTAAACGTGGAACGCTTTCTCAGGCTGCTAGAGACACGCATCCAGGACATTGTGGCCAGTGTATATGTGTTTGAGCGCCAGGACGAGGGCAACAACGACTATGTGGTCAAGCAGATCGAGAAGATCTGTGAACTGCCCACCGATCTCAATGATATTGTGCTAACCCAACAATGTCCCGAGTGCGCCGAGGGCGAAGCCTTCAATATGGACGATGGCGGTGATGGTGTTGCCATTCACACTATCAAGGAGGCCAAACAGAAGCTCTACGAGAAGATTACGCAACCTGAAATGCAATATCGCCTACATAGCATTAGCCAGTGCCGCTTGCCCCGCTCCAGAATGCTGGCCGCCAAGCGAAATGTCTAGGTTGAAGCACCCACTCAGTGGTACGCGTTGCTTACGTTAATTAATACTATGTCATGGCCAATTAAATTAACTTAACCACACTTTATTTTCTACTTTAAAAAATTGCCTAGCTTCTACGACCCTTACGCTTCGAAGTATCCCATAGTTCTAAAAAGTCTCTCATTTGGTTATTGCTTAAAAATAATTATGTGCACAAAGCTTATAATCTCTGTTCCGTTGCTATGCCCAACTCCTTTTGGCCAGCTACAAGACCCGACAGAGTGCTATTGAAACCCTCAACGTAAGGATTGGGACTAGTAGCTGTTATAGTTGTTGTTGAATTCATAGGGACTGTGGTGGAGGATGCAGCTTCTGTTGCAGGCTCTGTTGTTTCCTGAGCACCGCAACCGTACATGCGATGCAGTTTCTCTATATCCAAGTCGGAAAATCCAAGACGCTGACCCATTCGGTAAGCACCATCCGCTTGCTGCAAGTTACTTAACTAGTTAGCGTCTACATACATATACATTTAAGCCCAACTCACCTTGGCCACAATAGTGGGTTGGCCATTGAAGGAGAAGGCTCGTTTTGAATAGTGCATTACGCTGCCATAATCGTAGGGCACTCCGAATGCTTCGGTATTGTCCACTTTCCTGAAGTTTCTCAGAGCTCTCCAGCGTATATTCATGTACTGGATAGCCACATAGTCGTCACGCTCCTTGCGGCTCTGCTCGTGCAGAAAGCCCAATGCATGCATAAGCTCGTGTAGCACTGTGCCGGGTCGTCCCAGACATCCAGGTGTTTGCAAATTAATTTTCTGCTGCCCACCTACGCGACCCACTGCTGACCAACAGCCCGACGAATCGTTGATGATAGAAATGTAGTCCCTCTCGCCCTTGTGCGGCACAAATCTGATGCAGGTGCGCCTGTGGTACTCGTCGATGGCATCTTGAATGACGGCCAATTCCAGTGCGTTAAAGGTGCCTCGTATCCTATACGGTACCACACCGCCGGGCCAGCGTGAAGTCTGTGTGATGAGTCCATTTTTCATAGTAATTGCCGTCTCTGGCACGAGCATATCGCCCTCAAGATAGCTGCCCAGCTCCTCGGGATTCACATCATCCGTGTCGGCACTGAAATTGCCGACCAGAGCGCCTGTTAGCTCCTGATCCGGCTTGCCAAGCAAGCTGTTGCCATAGAAGCTCAAGTCTATGATGTCCTTGCTCCGCGGATCTGGGTCGTCAATGCCGTACTTGGTCGTTTCCTTGTGGAATATCAAAGGCACCGCCTGGACGAGTGCTTGAACCAGGACTGAGAATAAAATAAATCTGTGCATGTTTTAGACACCTGATTGCCAACTTTAGCTAAACTATGTTGAGCTCTAGCGAAGAGCGGGCTTTTATATCTAAATTCATGTTACGCCTGATGTTATCAGCTTTTATTGCACGAACATATTTTACCGCTTGACATTCAACCGTCAAGTGATTCTGCAAGTCGAATTATCTTCACCTCGTCTCAATAAACTCAAACAACTTTTATTTTGAATAAACGTATTAGGTACTCATATGCTCCTCTCTCGCTCTCTCTCTCTCTCTGTCTCTCTCACACACACACACTCTCTCTCTCTTTCTCTAGTCATATTTGTCTCGCCCTCTTAGCAATTATTTCCGCATTTTCTCTCCAAGATTTAAGTTTTGCGCAACTGAGGGGCTTTAACCGATAAGCATTATCATTCTGACCTTTCTGCTTTATGCATTTATAGGCATAAGGAACTAGACGAGAGCTCTTTTGCCTGTAATTTATACTGATATAGTGCTAGTTAATATTAGACAATGGATGCTTTTAAAGAGGGGCAACGCACCTAATATTCATAAGGCCTTCACAGTAGGACCCTTTACTGATAACAGTCGAGCCATATGCAAATTATTTTTAAATTGTTTTATTGAGATTTTAAGTCAGTAAGTCAGTTTTTTAAATTTAAAATATTTGCAAATGACCTACTAAGAATAAGTTAGTAGTACATTTGAAAATGTTAATTGTTTTTAGTAAATCATATTTATGTATATTTATTATGTTTACTATGTATCTAATCCTGAAATATTTCTTGAGAGGATACGAATTTTTAGACGGAATTATAATATTTAGAATGTTGTACTTGCGTAACAATTTCTTTTGATAATAATAATATGGAAAATCAGAAAGTTTTCATAGTTTCACTTAGCTTTATCAAAGACAATTCTCAATTTTCAAATAATCAAGCTGCTTAGTAGCATTTTGTTGTATGGCGAATACATTATTTTAGGAATTTTAATAATTAATATACGCATATTACCCAGAAAGAGTCTATTTACAGATTAAAAAGATAGTTTTTATTATCAAATTGGGAATACGTAAAAGCTTTAAATGTATTAACAAACTTAGATTCAAATGAAATATTATATAAAATCAAATCAAAATATGTTGTTTTTTTTTGGCGAAATTATGACGTTTGAAAACGACGTTACCCCGCTTTCGATCATGGATTCATGAGATTATGTCGTTTTGAAGCGACATAGCTTCCCCGCTCTATCTATTAGATTGTCTTTGGGTTTATTTAGAAGCAAAATAATAATTATTTAATAGAGAATACATTATTTTAGCAATTTCAATAATTAATATAGGTATATTACCAAGAAAGAATCTATTTACAGAATAAGAAGATAGTTTTATTATCAAATTGGGAATACGTAAAAAAATTAAATGTATTATAAAATCAAATCAAATGATGTCGTTTATTTTTGGCGAAATTATGACGCTTGAAAACGACGTTACCCCGCCATCGATCATGGATTCATGAGATTATGTCTTCCCCGCATTATTTTTTTTTATTTCTATTATCAACGATTCGTCGGGCTGTTGGTCATCAGTGGGTCGCATGGTGGGCAGCAGAAAATTAATTTTCAAACACCTGGATATCTGGGACGACCTGGCACAGTGCTCCACAAGCTCATGCTCTCTCTCTCTCTGTCTCTCTCTCTCTCATACTTGTCTCGCCCTCTTAGCAATTATTTCCATATTTTATCTTCAAGATTTAAGTTTTGCGTACCTGAGGGGCTTTACGTCAGAGGTACGTTGCTCATTGCGAGATTTGGTCGTTGATCATGGCGAGAGTATGTCGTGTGAACATAGCTCTAAAAACTACATATCCCAAAGAACCCTTGAGAATTTCCTACATCTAAAAGTTATCTGAAAACCTGAGTATTTTTATAAATTTTATATTTTTGTAGAAGAATTAATTGCCCTGAAGATGGTTTGCCGATGTCCAACCGAAATACTAAACTAGATTATTTCAAATTTTTTTTTTAAGAAGCGTAGACCTTGACCCAACCAAAAAAATAAAGAGTAACATGAAAGTTTATGCAATTGGTGCTAGTTTTTATTCTTATATACTTTGATCAGGTAGAGATTCATGATAATTAATACTAGACTAAGTTTGTATGGGTTATGCATTAAATAGTTGGTTGCGTTTGTGAACATATGAATTTTGCAGGTTCTTTGGTCTAGTTGCTAGCTTCAGTGGCCTTTTCGTTCTCGCCGTCTCCAAGACCCAGTCCACTGATGAGACCGCTGAGAAAACTATCAACGATGGGATTGCCACCGGGAGCAACAGGAGCTGGCGCCGGAACAGCTGGAGCAGGAGCAGGCGCTGCTGCGCCAGCTCCAACCGCGGGCGCAGATCCACCCACATAGCCGCAGTCGTACATGCGATTTAGTTTATCCACATCGAAGTCGGAGAATCCGTTGCGCTGACCCATTTTAGAAGCACCATTCGATTGCTGTGTGTTATAAAATAGAATTGATTACATGATGCTAAACATCTTGGTGTACATTCAACTCACCATCGCCACAATAGTCGGTTGCCCGTTGGTGGAGAAGGCATTCGCTGAATAGTGCATGACGCTGCCATAATCGTAGGGAATTCCAAATGCTTCCGTCTTGGCGGCCTTCTCGAAATTGCTTACGGCTGCGGATTGAATATTCCTGTATTGGATAGCCACAAAGCCATCACGCTCCATGCGATTCTGTTCGTGTAAAAAGCCAAGGGCGTGCATCAGCTCGTGTATGGCTGTGCCGGGTCGACTTAAGCAGCCAGGCGACTGCAGATTCACCTCCTGCTTGCCACCCACACGGCCCACTGATGACCAACAGCCCGAGTTGCCGCTCACAATCGAAATGTAATCCCGTTCACTGCTGCGCGGCACAAATCGGATGCAAGTGCGCTTGTGATACTGCGCTATGGCGCTCTGTATGGTAGCCATGTCGCGGGCATTAAAGCTGCCGCGGATTTCGTATGGCACCACACCGTTGGGCCAGCGCGAACTCTGCGTGGTCAGGCCGTTTTTCATGGTAATCGGTGACTGTGGCACGAGTATATCACCCTCAAGATAGCTGCCCAACTCCTCGGGATTAACCTTGTCAGTGTCGGCACTGAAATTGCCCACAAGGGCAGCTGTTAGCTCCTGATCGGGAGTGCCATACATGGCACTGCCATAGGAGCTCAAGTCAATGATGTCCTTACTTGCCGCGGATGGCTCTTCAATGCCTGGCAGCTCAATGGCCTCCGTATCGTCAATGTCGTCGTAGGATACCAGCGGCACTGCCTGTGCACATGCTAGACCCAAAATGAATAGCAAAGTAAGTCTGCACATATTGGATAGATTGATTGGCTAATTGTTTGGTTGCTGGCTGTAGCTTGACTGTGCTTCGTTGTGGAATGGACTGGATATATATACTCAGTTCTGCAGAGACTCAGTTCAGACGTGCCCGCTTTTATCAGGCGGCAACGGGCTTTTATATACATATTTTTTTACCGGCAGACCTTCAGACGGGCGGTCGACATTGTTTTTGTCGTCATCGTCTTGACTCGTCACACGCGTTTATTGGTGGATAAATATTTGGGTAACGCTCACAGTACAAGTGCTATATTATTGTTTTTGTTTTTTACGGTGAAATGGCTTTCATAAACTGTATCAGTAGTTTGTTTGCATACGCTAAGTTTAATGACATTATCTTAATGTAGTTTTTTAGTTTTTCGCACATAACAATAACCGATAAGCATTATCGGGTTGACCTTTTTCGCAAGATATATTTATGTGCCACAATTCGTTTATAATGCCGCTGTGATTTAGAGTGGAAATATCAGCAGGCAGCTATAAAAACTATTTTACTTCTTAAGCCTAAGTAAATCTAATTCTTAACATATCCTAGATATAATGAGGCGACTCTGAGCTGAGGAACAGTTTGAAACTAAGCGAACTCAAAAATATGTGTTTACAATTCACAGAACCTAAAACATAATAATTCTTGTAATTCAAAAAACATTTTCTAGCGGATTGCCGAGAATACAATGATTTTGAGAGGAGCAATTCGCATACTTAAATACTTAGTACAATGCAAATAAAACCCAGCACGGCGGCAGCTTCAAATAGATATGGGAAAAACATTTTAAAAAATCCCATTGCTCTTTTTGGATCATTAGCCAAAACAGCTGTATAAGCCGTGTGCATGAATTGGGTTCAAGTGCAGGTGGCAGCCGGCAGCCGCTGTTTGCAGCATCTATCAAATTATTGTAATTGGGACTATTTAATGAGTCATTAACAAAAAACAGTTTGGTGGAACTTAATATGTTCGTTGATCCTCTAGTTATCGAAGCTCATTTCTACAACCATATTTGAGTCTGAATTTGAGAGCTCTTCCTCCTCATCGAATTTCAAGTTCATTTTGATGCCACTTAACTTATCTGCGTTGAGCACACGCCGACTGCTGGCCGTTATAGATTCAGTGACATCTCTCAGTGCCTTGCTGCAAATCTCATCAATGGTGGCTGTATCATCCATTAAATCCTCAATACACTCCTTTAATATTGTGGAGGTGACAATGCAGTCACGATTTAGTGCTAAACTCTTGTGGAAATACTCAATCGCCTCGTCCAAATTGCCAAGTAGAGCATGTATGAAGCCAATGGATGTGTATGTAGTGCCGCTTTGGGGTTTCAGCAAAAGCGCCTACAAAATAAAGAACTCATTAGGAAAGAGATAAAGAAACACAAAACACAGCTCTTACAAATTGAAAATTGTACAGCGCCTCCTCGAATTTTTGTATTTTGCGACAGGCGTGTCCTAGATTTACAAAAAGCGGCTCCCACCGCGCCGAAACCTCTTCATTATTGGTCTTGGCGCGCTGCTTAACAATGTTGACGGTAGATTGAAAGATTGTGGCAGCCCCATCGAAATACTCATATTCGTATTTAATGACGCCCAGCTCATGCAGTACATAAACATCCATCGGAGCTATGGTCATTGCTTGCAGAAAGAATTTCTCCGCCAATTCGAGATTTTTGGTAAGTCCACACTCCACCCCAATATAGAGTAATGGCAAATGGCAGCCACGCATAAGCTGGGTGGCCTTGAAGTAGGCAGCCATCGCCTGCTCGTGCTCGTTCTCATTGGCAAAGGAATGTCCATAGGCCAGCCAGGCGGGACCATAGAAACGATCCAGCGATGTGGCTTTTGACAAGTAACGACGAGCTGGATCACTTTTGCCTATCATATCGTAGTAGCAGCCAACGGCATACCAAGAAATGGCCTTGTCCGGATACCGATCGACCAATTTGTGGGCCACATAGAACAGCCTATTGAAATCACCATTCTCCACAAGGCAGGCAATTTGTATGGTTAGGGCGCTGTTGTGGAAAGGATCTACCTTTAGCAAACTGAAAGCAAATCACATTACCAACAATTATAAATAATATGGGATCAATGCAATGCAATACTTACTTATTTAGGATTTTAAGGCTCTGCTTGTAATCGCAGTCATAAAAACATTTCTCAGCCTCTGAAGCTAGCAGATCCGTGCTGCGCTGCACTCGGGAAAGGCAGTCGTTAAGCGATATTAAACTGTCTACTTCATGCTCGCGCGAACTACGACGGTTGGATGCATCGAAAAGCGAACGCTGCGTAGCATCAATCATGGATGAAGCGCGTGACAGGCTCGTCTGCAAAGAAAATGTTGGCGCCTTCAGATCCTCCAGCACTCTACAAATATTAATAAAATAAATACCAACACGCCAAAAACAATACGCATTTACAATACAAAAATACACACTTTTGTGCGGGCGACATAAACTGACTCGGAGTCACTGTTGTTTTCGGCACAGATGGCTTGGGCAATTGAGTATCCGCTGTACAAGTTTGCTGCACGCGTACGGTGAACTCTTTAATGTACTTGAGCACATCCGGATTGACAATCGGTGAAATTTCCTCAGCGTTCCGCGCTGAAATGAGCTCATAGTACTTTTTCAATCTAGACTCGTATAGCTTTAGAATGAGCTTGGCGTCAGCCTCGCTAGATTGTTGGGCCAGCGGCAAATGGTGCATCAGTTCAAACTCTGCAGTAAGGTAAACAAAATATTTAGAAAGGAAGATTGTTGTTGCCTTGAGCATTTACCTTCCCAAGCCATAAGCATTTCATGCTGCACCAATGCTTCCAGTGCCTCAAAGCAATATATAGATTTGTGTAGAGCCTGCACAAAGAAATCCATGGCCATGCCACGATTGTCCAATGCTTCATATACCTTGCCCTTCATCAGGAAGATAGAAGCCAGCAGCTCATTCCGATTATTCTCTTCGCCACCAAAGACGCTGTTGCTCTCCAAACAATAGCCGCTGCCCGGATCTATCGGCTGATTAATCAAGGATGTGGTCATTGTCTCTACCTCCACGATTTGTATTATGTTTGCCGCTTCGTTGTACTCTTTGGCCGCATAGAGACTCTCCAGCAACAGATTAAAGCAAGGCAGAGAGGTCTTCTCCAGCTTATAATGCTGAATTGTATGAGCCGCGCGATGGTACTCGCCCAATAGAAACATACACTGTGCCTGGTAGTATATATCGCGCGGCTCCTGACCGCTTAGAACGGCTACCTTTTCGGCCCAAAACAAAGCGGTTGAATAGCGGCGCTGCAAAAAACATACATCCATTTACATTCATACATAGTTACATAGATAATTTAATTGCTGAAACTACTTACCATGTCTATAAACTGCTTAACCAGTTTGCGGTATAGCGCAAGATCGATGTGATCATTTGTGACCTCCGTATTGCTGCTTTCGTTATTGGCTGCCATTCTTCTAAAATAAATAATTAAATGTTAAGACAATTTGTTAGCTTAGCTCTGCCGGCAAGCGCTGGTATGAAACGAGTAGTCTGGCAACGCTGTCGGGAACAGCTGCTTTTGCCATTCACACAAAAAACAGCAGTGGCACTGTAAGAAATTATTGGCTCGGCTTTTGAAAATATAAAAGGAGTATGAAATATTTTTTAGAGTATTGCAAAGTCACTATTTTATCATATATTAAAAATGATTTTAATATGCTGATATAAATGTTTCCATTCTTATTTAGCTGTCCCATAATTGTATATATTTCCTGCTTTTAGTCAACTTCCTTGCAACTTGTATGTTGTCCTGCGCCTGATTTGGGTGTTGGGATTGGGGATTGGGGCAGCAGCCAACATCCATAGAGATTTTATTTGCGCTCTCTCAGCATCAGTCGTGGCCAGGCGACATCAGTGTATTTCAATTGCTCGTTAGGTGAGGTTATTGCATTTCTGCCTTGAGCGGCAACAAGATAAAGTTGGACCCATCGGCAGTGCAAATGAAAACACTTAATTTTTGTTGATATTTAAAATAAAATACAAAATATATACAACGCCTTTATCTTGTAGCATATTTTTACAAGTGTAAAGCAAAAGACTGCAAACTACACCAGAGCAACAACAGTGCATAGTAAAATTAACGAAACGCGTGCAAAGCACACTACACAACTCGAAGTAACGGTTCCAAGCCGGATAACAGAGTGTGAGAAAAAAATGTGCTTTGCATGCATGCAGTAGGACGACAAAAACTGAATGCAAGTGCAAAATTAAAATGAAATTCAACAAATTTATGCGAGTGACGCGTGCAACAAACTAAACGTACATAGCCTGCAACTACTATAATTTCGGGTATGTAAATAAATACATATGTATGTACATTCATTCATATACATGTGCATACTTGTGAAATTGTAACGTTCTACGTGTGTGTGTGTGTGTGTGCGTATGTTGTACATACTTACGTAGAGTTTAATAGGTAAATGGGACCGGCATACCAAATCGTTGGCAAATTTGAATGCATGTTTCGTGCTAAAAGTGTACCCCCGGAGGAGTGATGCGAGGGCGAATTGAAGTCGAAGGATTTTCTAGTATCTCGGATGCAGTTATACTCTCATCGAGGGTAACTTCAATATACTTTTTATAGTGCGTGTTTATTTGGTGTTGTTGTTGCTGTTGTGGCGTCGGTATCGTCGGCCCTCGTCACTGTCTTTTTACAACTTTCCGTTGTTCATGAGTATTTTACGTCGCGCACGCCTTGCCATACTCACGTCATTTCCCAGCAGCTCCAGCAGCGCCAACAACAAATGCGACTCTCCTACTAGTCGACCACTTTTTACAACTACGAATACGCACAGAGAGGACCACGGGCAAAAGCAACAACAGCAACAGTAACAGCAGCAGCAGCAGAAGCAGCAAGAACAATAACAAAAACTACCCAAGCTCCGTTAGCGCTCCACTCATAGTAGTAGTTGCTGCTTTGCTGGCTCTGCGGCGTTCTGCTCATTTCATGCTGATTTATGGTTCTAATAATAGCTTCGCTTCCTGTTTCTCAAAAGGATTACAGCCGCTGGCACATGCACACGGCCGAGACGCATACATATACACATAGACATCAGCTCGTACTCAGGAACGCACAGCACAGGACTTTCCTCTTTTGTGGCCCGTGTCCATTTAAGCCCATCACCACTTTTAGCTTTAAAAAAAAAAAAAAATTAACATAATTACCGAGAACGACAAAATTATAAAGCAGTCGCTCGCACGAAAGCACTTGGAAACAACTTGTCGTTGGCTGCGAAACGGGGGGCATGACGGAAATTGGTTAATTACAGTTATGTTTGCGGGGATACGCCTTGATCGATTTACAGCGTTTAACGCTTAAGTGAGCTCATTTAGACTGCTGGCATAGTGTGCGTGTGCGTGTGCGTATGCGTGTGTGAGTGTGTGTTAGTGTGTGCGTGCCTGCCTGTGTGCCTTAGGATTTTCGACTTGGGGACTTACATGCATTAAGTAAACCATTGAGTCGTATTAAAAATATAGCTTGAAAAGGTTTTCCAATTGAATTCAGTTAAAACTGATTGGTTGTTTAATTTTAAATTTAATGCTCGTTTTCTTTTAATTTATTACGGATGGTTAGATTTAATCCTTAAGTTTGGATTTGAGTAGATTTGTTCATTTGCTGTGACCATAGAAATAATATAAGTAGGTATATATACTATTACCACAGAAAATTATTAACTATTGTGAACTGAAATTGTTTAATTTCTGCTGAACTTAATTTAATTGTTTTTTATTCATGATATAAATTAGTTAATTACTTTCGTCTACTTCAACAGGGTACATCGCATGAGCTTCATTATTGACGGAGAATAATGAATCGATGAATATTTGCGTCAGCTGATACGGCCGCCGCATCTGCCTGCTGTCTGCGTAGTGAAGTGCCGACTGGTGCCAAATCCTGATTACCAACAACTACAACAAGAACAATAACAACAACAGCAACAACTAGAAAAGCTAAGCAAACCATTTTTACCAGCAAACATGTTTGCCTGAGGCAGAGTAGACAACATTTTTGGGCAGCCGCATCATCAGATCGAACCCAGCTCAAATAAAGGACTCGCTGCGCAGCACAAACCATTGAGCGTATGCCCAGAGAGCATTCACGGTGAGCAAGAGAAAGAAAGAGAGAGAGCGACCTAGCTGAGAGGAACTGAGGCAAGTTGCTTGAAGCGGTTTACTGTATTGTTGCGTTGGTCAGCATAGCAAGAGGACGCGCGGCGAGGAGGGAGCATACGGAAGTGGCGACATCTGTTTTGCCGCTTTGTCAGCTTATCCGGCAGCCGATGCTGTAGCCGACGACAGGCGAACACAAGGACGACGAGAAGGAGCGAGCGCACGACAGGACTAACGGCAACGTGAAATACAAGTGTGGAAATTGGAATTTTTATTCAAAACAATGCCCCTGCTGCAACAGGTATGTAAATAATAATAAAACCCATTCGCACGCCCAGCCCGAAAGGGGGATGGCGTTAGCCGTAATTGAGCCGCTCACGTACGACTCCCAGATGAGAACCAGAGAACCAGAGCGCATCAGCTGGTTTAACGCAGCTCCACGCCCTGCAACCGCTAACACCCCTAACACGCCCCTTCGCTGTTGCCGCTCCACAAAGGCATTTGGCACCTTGATATTTGATTGTGTGTATTTATGCCTGCCGTATCGGCTCAACTTTCGCCACTGACTGATTGTGTCTGTCTCTGGCAGTGCCTGACAGTGCCTGGGATGATCCTAATCAGATTATTGCTTAACTTTGTACGCCTCTCGGCTATGCGGTGAGCCAACTAAAGGCTCCTGTTCCTTGCTGCACACTTAGTACTCTACTTGGCTCAACTAGCTGAAGCTCGACTGCGCGACTCTTGTTGTCTGTTGCACATTATGAGTTGTTAAATTCGATTAAACTTGCGGCGTTTGTTCACAGCGTCAGCCAACTCCTAGACAGTGCAACGCCTCCATCCAAGCTGTCTGTTTGTCCCTCTGTCTGTCTGTCTGTCTGTCTGTCTTAATGTGGCTGTGTGTCTGGGCTTGTGCGGCTGAGGATGAGTGTCCGTGCGTGGAAGGCGTTTAATTGTACTCTTTGTTGCGCAAAATAGTTGCGTGATTAAATTTTCCGAGCTTTTATTTATTTTTAATTCATTTAAATAACATGATTTGATTAGGCAGCAAGGCACAGATGATAGCTTTGACAATAGTGCTATGTAGGTGTCCACAAAAAAAAGAAAAGAAAAAAGAAAAACCAAACTATTAAATAACAAATTGAATTGCAAGTTGTAATTTTATTACAAAGCTGCGTTATGATGCTAGCTAGCACATATTTTATGAAAACGTCACTTCGGTTTATTACATTTGCTCAGTCTCAACAAATATGTCGGAGAAGATTACGCTTTCGTGCACATTCAATTGGCATTGACGTAATTCCTTGGCATATGTCTGGACACGTTGATTCTTAAATTAATTTTGATATTTATTGAGAATATTTTCTTGTTTCCTCTGATTACAGAATTAAAGCTAATCTTTCTGTCTCGAAATGTGTAACGCATAGAAGAAGACATGTCCGACCCCATAAAGTATATATATTCTTGATCAGTATCAACAGCCGAGTCGAGTCCGTCTGTCCGTCCGTCCGTCTGTCTGTCTTTCTATTTCTATGCGAACTAGTCTCTCAGTTTAAGGTTTTTAAGGTTCCTTCTGTTGCACGCAGCACATAGTATGTCGAAATGGTTGGATCGAACGACTTTATCATATAGCTGCAATAGAAACGATCGGTCGAAAATTAGGTATACCTATATTCATTGAACTTAGCAAATTTGAGCTTTCCAATTCTCTTTCCTTACATATCTGCAACACCTCAAGCCATAATTCTACAAGACTTTCTCGTTATTATGTTATACTGATTTTGTACACTATTCAATTATTTTTTTTAAAATACCTCAAATTATCTTAAGCTGTTAGGATAAACAAAAGTAAAAAAAGTCCGGACACATTAAATTGGCCGTTTTCTTCGAGGCGAATACTGGTTAAGTGCGGGAAGGTTAGAAGCCGGAAGATATATTGAATGATTCCATAGGATGTCAGTCATTTCAAAAACAATTTCTAAATGTCGAAAAGGTATTTTATTGGCAAAGTTGTGTTTTTTCTTAAATGGTTTAAAATAGCCGACTGAATGCGTTATTTTGCTTCTTCATTCGCATACTTGCTACCATTTAATATGAATATCGTAATTTTTTTAGATTGATAAATAAGCTATTGCCCCTTCCCTGAGCAATAACAATTCCCAATTCAGATGCTAGCTTTGAGGATAAAATTCCTATATTGTCATATACTAGTGAATGTTATGTCAGTTCAGTCAATTTCCACTAAGCTCCTGCCAAAATTGTCACTTGTCTCGGTGGCTTCCGCCCGGCGGAGGTTGTGCTCGTCCCTCGTCGCTGCTTACCCAAGTGACACATATGTAATCATTATAATATACTGTTAGATGGGTCTACACGGCTTACGCACATGCTCCCTGTTGCTGTCATGCTTAAACGATCCCATAGTCCTGTCAATATGTGTGTGTGTGTGTGTGTGTGGGAGTGTGCGTGATTGCACCGTGAGACGCCTCCGTCCGCCTCGATTTGCACTGGCATTGTTGCATGCGTAAGCGTCGCACTGCTTTCTGTCTCCCTCGCTCGCTCCTTGTCTGCTGCTCTGCATCCTCGTCTGTCAGTCAGTCGCAAGCCAAGCTACAAAGTTACTCATTGTCGACTGTAAGGGGCTTCGTCTATTGCTCATCATTCAGCCATTTGATGGGACGGGCGTCTGTTGGTGGGGCGGCTTTGGCACGGCCTGACAATTTGACAATGGAGGCTGTGCATTTGTTACAATGTTTACACAAATATTTAAGGATAATCCGACGATTTCAAAGGGGTTATTATGCAATTTTTCTACTCATTTTATTGTGGCTGCACAACAAAAAAAAAAGGGAAAGAAAGAAAAAAGTGGATAGTAAAAATAAGTAAATGCAAAATGTCAATTTTGTCGTGTAAGCGGCATTCCCTCCCATTGATGGTGCAGGCGCCTCAAGCTGTGGTGGGGTGGTGTACAACAACCCATTGTTGTTGCCCCAATATAAAAATGCATATTTATACGTATGCAGTAGGCACATATACATACACATACACATACGTATATTTATTCATATTTATTTGCTGGTAATGCCTAAAAAAAAGCGACTCCTTCATGCAGTAATGCTTCCTGTGCCAGTGTGGCGAATACTTTATATTATTTCATTTCCTTTACCCAGCGTTTTATTTATATGTATTATGTAATATATTTTATTTATGTGCCGCTGGCCTGCTGTTAAAAACGCCTATAAATAAAGTACATTTGTCGTTTGCACAACATTTTATTTGCAAAGTTCTTTTTGCCCTGTGATCATCATAGCCCGCTGTGACTGACACACTTTATATTCCCAGCAGCAATGCGAATGGTCTATAGTAAAGACCAATAATTTCTTTCTTATTTTTTTTTTTTTTTTGGCTGAAAGCTGAAAAGCTTTTTTTCTAATTTGTTGCATATTTACACCTAAGAGCTATGCAAAAAACCAGCCATATTAAATAGCCCCCAGTTGGTTGCGCTCGAAAATGTTTTCCTTTTAATTTGTTGCAAGTTATTAGCCTTCTTGTTGAAACTCGATGGGCAAATCATTCGCATTGTACAAAATGAAATCAAATGAATAAAGAATCATTTCAAAATGCTGCAAGCTGCTAAGCATTTGCAATTGCAAATTTACATACATATACACTGCGATATATACGTTTGTATATATTTGAGTTTTTTTTTTTTTTTTGCTCAACAAAAGGCAGCCAGCCTGACAGCTTAGCGTCTATGGCGGTGGCCAGCGGAATATCTTGGAATGCCTTGCACCAGTCGCCCTCATCCTTGTCGTTGTGCAAGTGGTACAAGACGGCGGCCTCGTAGACTTCTCACAATGGCGGCAAAAGCGCCCCGAGGCACATCATTAAAATGTCGATACCAAGCAAATCACACGCCCGCCGCCAGCCAGAGGGATATAAAAAAATGCGACGCGTTTTGTGGTGGGATGCCTGAGGTTGCCCGGATTGCTGGATGGCTGGATTGCCGGCTTGCCTTGGCTTGGTGTAGCAGGTTCAGCTGGGCGTTGCCGGTGCAATATGAGGAGCTGGCATTAAAAATTGCAAAAATTCAATTGAATTTACTTTAGCACAGACATCGTCGCACACACTTCCAACTAGCATGCGTGGGCGTGGCAGTAACAATGCTGCTGTATGTTATTATTAAAAGCGCACACAAAGGTGCAGCCAAAGAAAACAAGAGGCAAAATGGCAATGTTTTAAAAAGAAAACAATAAACGCAACCACAAAAGGCCACCATGCAAAAGCAGAGTTTGTTGCTTTTTAAATAGGCATGAAAAAGTTTTGTTGCTCGAAAATAAAACAAAGTATTCATTCAGCTTAGGACGAAGACAGCTCAACGGGTAGTTATCCTGTTATATTGCAGATTGTCAAATAGCTCTCTCTTTATATTTGAATGCTGCTAAGGAAAATTAATCTGATTAAAAGATATATTGAACAAAAATAATAATATATGATAGCTAACATTCATCAATAGCTTCCATATTGAGACAACAACAAATAACAGAAGTCGATTTCTATTTCAAACTTTTTCCGCAGTTGAGATAATTTAAGTACAACAAGAAACAGATTTTGAGTACTACCAATAATGTCCTTGTCTGATTATTTTGTCCACTAGCAAGCTTTATGTTAGAAGTGAGGCAATTTCTACCTATAAAGGAAGATTGAATGAAAGAATATCGAACTTAATACACATTTACAAATTATGAGTATTAAAAGGTACTTTAACAAGTTGTGTTTCCTGGCAACTAATATACCGCATTAACATAATTTTATTGGGTATGCAAATATGCATCATACGCCCTGTTGTGCGCAATCCAATGCAGCTCAACTCGCAGAGATAATACAGTGCGCAAAAAGCGCGTGTTTTATTTCCACTTAGCACACACACACAAACACACACAGAGGGAGACACACAAGAACACACACACGAGCCACACTCACATTGAATGCATGTTGACGCCTGTTTTAAAAAAATTGTCTTCTTTCCTCTGGCTGTCTCACTCACTCATGCCACGCACACACTGAAACAATAACAACGACAGCGGCAACAAAAGCGCATAGGCATCGGAAATGTTGCCGTTGAAACTGAAATGTCGCTACGCCTGCTTCTCGCTGGTCTGTCGTCCACGTGGACGTACTCGTGGTCGTGGTTGCTGCTATACTACGCCCATGTAAACGGTTCGCTGCTCTGCCCGAGCAGAGAGTTGTTTGAATTACGATATTGTTGTTATTAAATGGATGCATGACGCAGGACCAGCGGCAGAGTTTGCTGCATCTGTTTGATAGTTTATTCAAAGCATCATTTAATGCTTTGCCTCGTGTGTGCGTGTGTGTGTGTGTGGGGTGTGCCACACGCTTGCCGTGTGTACATACATGTATATAGTAAGCGACATCGTGTCAAGGCACAAATCAAGTGCTGCTGACGAAATGACATTTAACATGCAGCTCAATTTAATTTGCCCCGGCAATGGCATCTCCATGAAAAGCACAACACGCGACACTCACGTACACATACACAGCAATTGCTGTTACAACAGAACAGAACAGAACAGAACAGAACAGAACAGAACCTGCTGCCGCTCGGTGCAACTGTCTGCTGTGGGCGCGTGTTGCATACTTGTAGGCGCACTGCAATTACGTGCCACTGCCACTGCGTTAGGCCCGGCATTGTGTTCGTATGACCTGCAGACATTTGAATCCCATCCAATCGATGGTGACGACGCCCACACCCACGTTCTCCACCAACACAACAGTTGCCCTGTAACTTGGCTGCTCAGCATGGAGCACAATTATGCCCTTGTGCTCCCCTTCAAGTGTGTGTGTGTGTGTGTGTGTGTGTGTGTGTGTGTGTGTGTAGTGTAGTGCTTTTTAATTTGCAATATTAAACGCTCAATTGTTGTCCCAAAACTGAAAACAGAGATAAGCGACAGATCGGTTTTGTCAGCTGCATGTAATAACAAGACAACTTGCAAGTCAGCAAATATTCGCAAAAGGTGAGCTCCTACGCAATTGTATAGCGCTCGCCACTTACGTTAATGAAAGGAGGAAGAAAACCGTATCGTCGTATAAGAACAGAGAAAAAAAGAAAATAATAAAAAGTAATATAAATCCTAAAAGTTAAACATAATATTACAATCAGATTCAAGATTCATATATTCTTGTAATATATTTATATATTCATATAGTCTTGTATTGATAACTGCAATTATCAGTTTTAATTCATGCAACATGCAACATATAAATGAAATTTCCTCTAAATTTTGTACTTAAGTACGTCGCATAAAAGTGAACTTTTGAGAATATCAAGTTTTAACCCAATAGCGTCTGTTGAATTTAAGTATTTAGGTATTCGTTTGGTTGGAAATACGTCCCATGTGCCATGTGCTTATTAGCACAACTAAAACAAAAACTTCATGCTGTTACAAAAGACAAAGAAGTATCTGAGTCAATATTAAACATATGTTGAGGTGCATAAGCTCGTTATGCAAAACGCTTGTTATGTAACCATTATCACACACTTAAGAACTTTAGCTTGAGCACTGCATGTAAGAGGTTGTTTAGCGGCATCGTATGAGCAAAGTAAATTCAAATGTATTTGCCAATAACTTTTATCCTTTATGGACTGCCACTGTGCCCAAGTTTGCAACATGTAATCGGCCATAAAAAATTACAGCTGTGCATTAACCTTTTGCGCTTTGCTGGTCACTAGGGGAAGAATGGAGTGGCTCGAATCGCATCGCATCGCATCGAATCGAATCGAATGGAATCGCATTGAACAGCGAGGACAACAAGGATGCCAGCGTCATCGGGCGCTTATCACTACATGCCATCAAATTTTAATGTCAAACCCCTTTTTGGCCAGGACCTTCAGTGGCTGGGGCAGCGCCTTGGGTCAGCTGCAGCGGGCAACAGCAGCAGCAGCAGCAGCAACAGCACCAACATCTAATAAGTGTTGTAAACGATGCAAACATAATAATTTGTAAGACTTTTGAAAGCGGAAACTTGTAATTTTCTCAAACAGCCAACAGAGACTCGCATGCCAGGCCCAAATCCCTGTCTGGGGTCCTCTCTGTGTACGCTGCACATATGCACTAAAATGCAGCCCAGAACATTCCAATTCCAGTCAAGCGATTGCCAAAAAAAAAAAAAAAAGAAAAGAAAAGAAAAAAGCAAACCCACAGAAACTAAAGAGCGATGAAGATGAAACCGGCAAGCAAATGTACAGCAGCCAAGTCGAATGGACACTGGATAAATAACTACTGAGTTATAGTGCTGACTCGATGGCTGCTACTTGGCGTCTATACATGCTCTCGAACGCGGAAAGATTTCGAATATCTTCATGGAGCAATCAGAATCAGCAGGCAGGCATCAGCGTGGAGTCAAGCACTGGGCACAAGCACAACACAGCCAACAACACAGCCAAAGCAGCACCATTGAATCAAATTTGGAAAATCCTTGACGTCAAAGACAAACAAAGGGCAATAGCAATGCGGTCGGACAGGATGTCTATGGGTTGAAGTAAATGTCCGGCCATGGGGTGTTTGGACTCGTAAATGTGGCAAGTGGTTAAGATTTTTTGTCGTATTCAATTTCCTAGTTTATGGGTTTTATTCTCCAATGTCAGGGTACGTTAACTAGGCCATACTGTTTGCCATGCACCAAGTAGTTACTTTTTTAACTCAATTACTTTTCTCTATATAGCCCCCAGAAGGTAGCAAGGACTTCTCCCTCATTCCTTTGCTGATTATCTAAGCCTTGGTTTTCGATTGAAGAGCATTCATTATTCGTTCGTAGCAAAAGTGAAAGACATAAGTAACCCTAACTAGATTCTTTAGACTTTCCTTTTTCCGCCAGCGAAAGCTCCTCAGCCTTTGGCCTTTCGCGTTGCGGATGTGGACGCAAACATGGCCTCGACATTACAAAATACATAGCTAGATAGAAGACTATTTGTAATTTGCATTCATTGACGCCGTTTTTATCGCAGGCTGGAAACAAGCTGTGAAATCTCCATTCGTACGCCACGGTAAATGTGTCAACAGGCAACGACAATGCCGCCTTTCAGCTGGTTGTCCACTAACCATCCACACATCGACTTACATTCTCACTGAATGTCTGTGTGTGTGTGTGTGGCTTCCTGGGAGTGTGTGTATGCATGCTCTTGATATTTCCGACATTTCACGTACCTTCATCAAGTTGTCATTCAATTTTTAAATCCATAGCAAGTTTTGTACTTAACATAGTTGTGACAAGTTGACAAAAAGTAAGTATGCCTTGGCTGACTTCCATTTAAAACTTGCCACAAAGGTTCAACTGCCTTGAAAAAGACATTTAATAAGTGACGTTTGGAGCGCAACTGAATCTCTGAATCTTTCCATGATGCTGAATACTTTAAACCTAACCAGCTCAAACTTGGCATATCAATATCATTTCTTATGAATCAGATTTTACATCAATCGCGGTGGATTGCTGGTAACTGATCGAACCAGTTGCCAGGAACCAGGAACTAAATCATGACCCTCACATTTTAAAAATATATTCAATAAATCTGTTGTAATTAAAATCATTTTATATAATCAAGTAGGGCAATTAATATACACAAGCCCTTCAGTGCGCTTCTCTCAATTCGTGTTAATTGAAAAACCATTTCCATTCCAATTGGAATTCAAACGTAATCCCCATATGGTTAAGCATACAAGTAGCACTTGCAGCATCTAACAGCTAAACCTTTGCTTTCACCTGAATGGAGCATCTATCAGTGGTCGTCTGTCCTGCATTAATCCCCACGTAATGAGTTGTACGCCATTTTGCGCTAAATTGTTTGGTGAGTGCCTGATAACAATATTTGCACTAATTTGGCATTTTTAAGTGTGCTCCACTGACACTTGATGCGCTTTTAATTGCGCCGAATGCTCGAGTGTACTTTCCTCGAGCCGGAGAGCATGTCTGCTGGCGGGTGGTGTTTGGGTGTCTTGGCTATAGCCATGCCTGTAATTGTGACTGTGACTGTGTCTATGTGGTTGGCGGGGATCCCACTTCTTTCTCTGCTGGGCGACTTGTGGGTGTCCTCGTGCGGTTGGCTTGCCAACTTGGCTACGTTGTTGGGACGTCGCCTGCCGTCATGTGGCAAGGAATGCAAAAGATAAACGATTCATTAGTTGCCACAATATTTGGCTGACTTTAATGGCAGTGCTCTGCGTAGATGCTTCTATGTACGTATGCGTACGTATACAAATATATCTTCTGCACAATCAATGTTGCCTGCCGCCAACATGTTGCAATTCAAATTTGATTGCCGCCTGTTTTTATTACTATTCAAATTCTATACTTGCAGTACGAGACGCCTGATTGCACCGCTGCCGGCGGCAATATGCGTGCCTTGAGCGGCGCCAGTGCCAATGATTTACTGCAGAAGCATTCGATTAGCTCAATACTGGAACAGCATCAGCATCAACATCAGCATCAACATCAACAGCAGCAGCAGCAGGATCTGCTGAGCAGACGTGCCGATGCCAGCGATGGACTTATATCATTCATAAATGGTATGTTGAAAATTGTTTTGGATTGCATCAAGTATTTCGATTATTTTGCTTTTTGAGTCAAAGGCATGAACAAAAGTGTCATTAGTTTTGATGCTATATAGATTTTCAATTTCCGATTTAGTATAGTTTGGGTTGCCATGGGAATTATTGTCATGGTGTAGAGTTTCTATTTTGGCTGTAAATTCATTTTAACGTGGCACTGCTGGCATTTTCTTGTCAATATTATTTGGAGTCTTGCAAACGGACGTATAAATTTCAATCATTTTTTACCTTTTGAAGTCGGCACACAAATATCCTTCGATAGTTAAATTATTATTATTCTTTATTTTGTTTCACGTAGTTTAAACTAGGATCGAAGTTCCTTGTATAAATTGCATTATAAGTGTACACGCCCAATTGCCATTTGCAAAGGAAGCGCAGTAAATTTTCAAGTAATAGTCAAATTTTAAACACCTAAATACCAAATTTTGTGTGTGGAGAGCACGCAACCCGAGCAACAAAGCATTTGAGCATTTCAGCATTCCAGACCATCAGAATATCAAGAAACTTGAGACCATGTTGGGAATTGAGGAACTTTATATGAGAAAGACGCCAAGTGCTCTGCCAAGTGGGTCGCCCACGCAGGAGACATTTGAATTTGGCATCAACTATGACGGCAAAGCCATCGGCAATAATACCACCAGCAACAAAACCAGCAGCACCAGCAAATCTTCCAACATCACCATTGACGAGAACCTTGGCATGATGGCAGCTGGTGATGGCGATGGCAGACAGAACTTGGCATACGACAATAACTCGAGCAACAACAATAACACAAGCCAATGCAATTGCAGTAAGTTGCGCTGTGGGCCCTTTTGGGCTGCCATTGCCAAAAAGAGTTCGTATCGTCGTCGTCGTCGTTGTCGTTGTCGTCGTATCGGGCTGGGCTGCGATTGGATCGAACATAGCATATTTACGCCTAATTTATTAGCAACATTTTGAATATTTGCAAAACGCTTGAAAGCTCTTCAGCGGCCAGGCCAACAGAACACAAAATTATGGCAATGGTCAATGTTGCACTTGAGTTTGTAGTTGCTTTAGAGTTAGTTTGTTTGTTTGTTTGATTTATTTATGGCTGCGCCAAGTTAGCGATAACTGTTGACATTCATCATCATATATACAAATTCATATTCGTATTTATAGATATATAGATTGATATACTTTTGACTTGCCCCACTATATTGCAGATCCAATCACACTGAACGATCTGCTTGGTTTGTGTGGCGGCAGCGGCCCTGCAATCGCAGCCCAGGCAACAACAGCACCAGCCCCAACAAAAGTAGCAACAACGGCAGCAGGCATTGCAAGCGGCGCCGGAGGTAACGGCAGCAGCAGCAGCAGCGGCGTTAATAACTTGCTACTTGGCAATTCGGCGACTGCTGCAGCTGCCGCTGTCGCTGCCACTGGCGATTGCGGTCAATTGTCGGCGACTGCAGTGTCCTATGCACCACTGACACCGAGCTCAACTCAGTCCTCGGCCTCGCCAGGCACCAAGTCAAGTTTTGATTACTTTCAGGTAAGTTTCAAGCGCACAGGTCGGACGCACATGTGCTCTGCTTGTGTGTTTATCTGTATGTATGTATGTATGTATATGGACATGTATCTTGTATCTTGTATCTTGTAATTGCACCGAATTTGCACCAAACTATTCTCTAACTTTTTTGCTTGTGTCTTTGCGTCTCGCTCGTACTAAACCAACGCTCGTGGACTCTATATATAGACTAAACGTCTTATGATTTTTGATTTATTTCTATCTTGTGTGTTTCTCTCTCTCTCTCTCTGTCTTTCTCCTTCTCTTTTCCCCTTTATCTCTCTTACTCTCTGTGTGTGTGTAATTTTTTTCAATTTATTTGATTTCTTTTCTTTCTTTTTGGGTGAATTGGCGAACTTAGTTTGAAAATGTTGCACAAAGTAACCCACTTAAGGCTTTCCAAAGATCAAACATCAGCTTCGATTGCTCTGCACCCTTATCGCCAAGTACGCCTTCATCTATTTACAATCGCTCCTTTCACAGTTCACCTTTAGTCAGGTAACGATGCGGCACCTATTTGATTTTGGTCAGCCATCGATATACTCACACAATTTCCCACACTATTTGCAGCGACAGCAGCAATTCCTCCAGCGCCAATGGTTTATCGTTAGATTCGATTAATATGCTTTATCAGCAGCAGAGCTACAGCAACTTGAGCGGCACCAACAGCGGTAATCTCGGACTCAATTTACAAAATGCATCCACGCGCTCGAATTCACCGGAGAGTCAGAACAGCAATCAATCCTTCAACGAGCCAAATCTCTTGGACATGATTGTAACTATTGTCCGCTCGAGTCTGAGTTTGGGTCTGATCTAATTTCTTTGCAGAATCTACTCTCAGTGAACAGCAATAAGCTGGCTTCTTTGCAGCAACAGCAGCAGCAGCAGCAACAACATTTTCAACAGCAGCAGCAGCAGCAGCAGCAACAGCAACATTTGCAGCAACATCAAAAGCAGTTACAACAGCAACAGCAACAGCATCAACAGAAGCAGCTTCAACAGCAGCAGCAGCAGCATCAGCAACAGCAACAGCAGCAGCAGCAGCAGTTACAACAACAACAGCAACAACAGCAACAACAACAACAACAGGCTCAACATCATCATCAGCAGCAGCAACAACAGCAGCAGCAGCAGCAGCAGCAATTTGCCAACATTAATCGAAACTATGAGTCACAGCTGTTAAGTGGATCGCAACAAAATTTTGATTTGAGCAACAACGATTGCCTGAATCAATGTAGTCTAGAAAACTTTTCCCTTGTGGACATGGAGCTTGCCAAGCTGCAGAATCTCCAGCGCATCAATACGCTCAAATTGCTGCAAGCACAAACGCAGCAAATGCCGTTGCTTAACCAACTGCTACAAAGCTATGCAAGCAATTTGCCTACTGCCGGCAGCTCAAACAGTCTTAATAACACTTCCAGTGCTAGTTTGAGCAATCTAGTGGGCGGTACTGGCAGCACTGTGGGTGTAGCACCAAGTTCTATTGGCAGTAATAGTGATTGGCATCTGGATCGTGTAGCCAAGTTTTATAAGAACTCGGCCGCAATATGTGAAGCAACATGTACTTGGAGTGGCCAACTGCCGCCACGTTCGCATCGCATGTTGAACTATTCGCCTAAAGTGTTTTTGGGCGGTATACCGTGGGATATCAGTGAGCAATCATTAATACAGATCTTTAAACCCTTTGGTTCTATTAAGTAAGTCCTATTCAACTCACGTAAATGCATCATAAGAGCTTTCGTCTTTGCAGAGTGGAATGGCCCGGCAAGGAGCAGCAGGCTGCACAACCCAAAGGATATGTGTACATAATTTTCGAATCTGATAAACAGGTGAAAGCCTTGCTTTCAGCTTGTGTATTGCAAGTTGATGATTCGCATAGTGGCAGCAATTATTTCTTTAAGATTTCCTCCAGGCGCATCAAATCCAAAGATGTAAGTCGGATATAAGGGCGTGTGCTTATTATAGTTTGCTAATAATCCTGTTCCATTCAGGTGGAGGTAATACCCTGGATTATAGCCGATTCCAACTATGTACGCTCCAGTTCCCAAAAACTAGATCCCACTAAAACGGTTTTCGTGGGTGCCTTGCATGGCAAACTAACTGCCGAGGGCTTGGCAACAATAATGGAGGATCTATTTGATGGTGTGCTTTATGCTGGCATTGATACGGACAAATATAAATACCCAATTGGCTCCGGGCGAGTTACTTTCAGCAACTTTCGCTCGTATATGAAGGCTGTGTCGGCTGCCTTCATTGAAATACGCACCACCAAATTTACAAAGAAAGTTCAGGTGGATCCATATCTGGAAGATGCTTTATGTTCAATTTGTGGCGTCCAGCACGGGCCTTACTATTGTCGTGAATTGTCTTGTTTTCGGTATGTTTGAGACAACAAAAGAGGAATCCCCTCGTTTGTTAACTAAATTACATGTATCTGTTGCAGTTACTTTTGCCGCAGCTGTTGGCAATGGCAACACAGCTGTGAAATTATTAAAAATCACAAGCCATTGACACGTAACTCAAAGTCGCAAACTCTGGTGGGCATTGGGCCTTCGACGTCTTCCTCCACGATTTCGCTGGCGTCCTCGGGTAACCGAATGAATATGGATCAGAAACTGCAGCAACATGGTCATCACAATAACCAACAGCAGCAGCAACCGCAACAGCAACAACAGCAGCAGCAACAACAGCAGCAGCAGCAGCAACAGCAGCAACAAAAACGTATTCAGCTCCAGCAACATGCCAATCAGCAGGCAAACAACTTAAACCTTTTGTCAAATGCAGGTGCCAACAACGCTGCAGCCAACTCATTGTACAAATATCAGCAACATCAGCCGACGATATAAGCGTGTATCTACTCCAAACTTTGTGCGCACTTTTAGCGTGCCGTTTTAACATAGTTCCATATTTATGTTCATCATGGGATGTAATTTTGAATTTTAAGTGATACCAAAATTTTTGCACTTTTAGGCAACAGGAAGCTTAACCTTTCCGAATGGACAGATTTGGACAAAAATTATTTGTGTTGCACACCCAATCACAATGAACCTTGTAAAGTTATTCATTTATTTGATGTATTTACTTAAACGGTACGATATTTAGTATATGTACATATACACTTCTTTTCTTTTAGGCTATACACACGAGCATTTCTCACATAATCAACTCGTATAAATAATATTTTTTGATAATCATGCTTACATATCAGCATTTGAAGCGGGCATTCGAATGCCAATCGAAAACGCCAGCTACTTGAAATGGGCCATTTCAATTACGTTTCTCTATTTTTGGCTAAGAAAGCTGTTCCTATTTTGCACTCAGTATTTATCTAATTTAAGACTCTGCCATTCTGGAAACTGGAAACTGCACAAGTTATTTTTGTTTAGTTTTCCTTCCCGTTATTAAGTTTATATATATTTTGTTATTGTGCTATTAATCAGAAATTTTATAGCTTCTGTTTTTATTAGCCAAGCGCAGAAATATTTTTTTGGATTTGTCCGTAAAGCGTTTATCACAAATTCCAATTTTTAAGTACGATTTAAAAGTTGAGAATTTATAAATTGGTCTTAAGTTTTGTCACACTGAATTTGTTATATAGTTAATGTTTAGTTTATGTTTTTCATAGTTATAAAGATTTTTTTTGTTGAACATTTACATTTATTGTTAAACTTTGTTTTTCTTTCTTGGCCCTCTTTTGGCTGAACTAGTTTTAAAGCTAAGAACTTTGTTCCTATTATTTATGTCTTACATTATTTTTCATGTATTTTGAGAACGAATCTCGATGCTTTGTATGTAATAACAAACCATTACATATTGTACTTAAACAACGCTTTAATTTAATATCAACATTATATTTTGTACACCCGCTTAATGCACATACTATTTCAAACAAATATATATATAGAACAAAACAAATTGTTTTCAAAATTCGAACTGTTATTTTTTCTCTTCTTCTATTTTTAACTACCTAATCAATGCTTAAGCAAACACGTAACACAGCGCTTCCCATGCTGATACTTGCCAGTTAGTCGAATATCAAATATTAAATTCAAACGAATTTAAGCATAAATACAATCAAATAATAAATTACTTAAACGTGCAACTAAAATACTCGAAATACAAATGTTGAATGCGCTAATTTCGTGTTTCAAATCGATAAACTAAGGAACTATTTAAGTGTATATTAACTGGTTAAAACGATTTGACAATTGTTAAATGAACGCTATTAGGGCATTGATTTTTTACCACTAGATTATTTTGCCAAATATTATGTTTAATGGATGTAAGAATGTAAAAAAATACATGCTCACACGTTAAGAACCTACAGGGATTTTATGGTAGTCTTTGAATAGCGCTAAATAACCAAATGTTAATATATCTGCCATGCAACTAGTTGAATTTGTTTAGTTTTTTAATGAACCTACACAACAATAAGCAATTTTTAATTGATACAAATCTGAAAGAAACGCGGGTTTTAGGGTAAACTTGGATGCCTCTTAGTATAACGGTTTCTGTTGTATCGCCTAGCTTAATTTCTTTTGCCTAGGAAGACTTGTAAGATATAATTTGGGCGGCAATACTTACATTTAGCTGATGTAAGTCAATAACTAGTTATTAAATTATTTAAATGCTAGACAATTATCACGCATACGATATGTACTAATTATAACCTATACGCGCCTATGCATAGTTAATGCCTTCAGTAAAATCACTAAAATCACCCACTAAAATAAAAAAACAAAAAAAAAATCGCTTTAACGAAAACCACAAATCAAAATGCTTATACACAGATACATACATATTTATTAAACCATATACACGCGTGCATACCAATAAATATCTGTAAATCCAAATGTATCTATATTAAGGAAAAAAAATTCAGGTGTCATCAGAAAGTATATTAGTGGAATGGATGATGAACATATACACAACTATGTTCGAAATGCATATATTTACCAATCCCATATTTCATAATAAATACAAATAAAAACAAACAAAATAATCAACAAAATTGAATGCGAATGAACATATACATATATACACACGTATACATATAAGGAACATATACCTTTAACTAGATAATAAATTGTATATATTGAAAGATATTTATACATAAAATGGTGCTTTAGCTGAATTATAATAAAATTATATGTAATTTTAAGACTTATATACCCAAATATAAAGAAGACAACTTGTTTCTCTTGATCGATTTCTAACCAAAACCGAAAAACAAGTGCTGTGGCTGGCAGAATCTTTTTATTATAACTAATAAATACATAAATTCATAATATTTCAAGAAATGTTTTTAACTGCTAAATAACAAAAAAAAAAAAAAAATAAATAAATAAATAAGAAAAATACGCAATGCAAATCAACATTTTCGATCATGTAAAACACACTGTCATGGAAATATGAACACTTACACTAGGACATACAGACATGTTTAACTTTTAAATAACTAAAATTTATATACTTTTTACTAACTACATTAAACGAGAATCAAATACTTTTTAAATGACAAATTTTTAAGGCTATTTGCCGCAAAATTGGTACTAAAACTCCAAAAAAAATCATACATATATTTTTACTTTAATGTTTTTAACGCTTTTACGAGCAAACTAAATGGCGTTTTTAATAACAGAACAGCTACAGAAATTTTAAACAATTTTCACAAAAGCTTTTTCAAATAATTTCACTTATCTTTTCTTTTTTTTTTCAATTTTTTTTTTTTTAACAGTACAATGCTCAGAATTGTCAGATAAATGTTGAATACAAATTTAAGAAATGTAAAATGTATCAATGAATTGAATAGAACGAAATGTAATGGAACCAAAATCGAACGCTTCCCACGCAAAACCGATAATATTAAATTTTAGCAGAGTAAAACAAAAAAAATAAAAATAAAATGCAAAGTTCTACAAACAGTGCACTAAATACTTATAAACAGTTAAGCGAAATATATTTGTATTTACCAAACTAATTAAAACATATGTTAATCTACAGTTATTTTTAAGCAATTTCACACTATAACTTTAAAATGCATATTTTTAAAAACATAGCTAAGGTGAACGGCAGTTATATACACTACAGATTACCTACTCTATTATAAACAATATCTATATATGCGCCAATAACTTTACCATGCATTCATTAACTTAACTATGCTATCAATATATATATATATAAATATATATATATATATATATATATATATGTATATATTTCTACCTACATTTATGAAGAATATTTTTAATAAGTATCATATTACAATACAGCATTGAGCAACAAAGCGACATGTGAGACACATTTTGGGGGAACATTAGCAAAAAACATTTGCAAATTGAATTTTAAACTAACGATACTTGCACGGCAACATGTTAAAAACCAAGTTAAAAAAAAAAAAACGCAATATGAAAGGTTTTTAAAAAGACTATTATACACACAGATATACACAGAAATGAATAATAATGATGAATATTACTAAGCTTTTAAATGCAATAATCAAGTACCATATATATATATATATATATTTTAATATTGGAAAACTTAAACGATAATTAAAGGAGGACACGTACATATTGTTAAAGTATAGCGAGATATATGAAGAATTATTCGTGGGGCATTTTAGCTTCGGCTGGCATTGGCTTCACAGATCTATGTCAAGGGAAGCCTTCTCACCCTAATTCTAATTGATTTTCCCACCTTATATAGGAATATAAACAAAATTACTGCAGTGCCATTTTAAATAGCTTCCGATAAGTAAAATATTAATATACATACATATATAAAAAAAAAATAAATATATATATATATACATATTAAAAAATAATATAGATATATATACATGCAACCAATACATTAAATACGTACATACCTAGTATATGCATACATACATACCTAATTATATATTTAATATATTGTTATGAGCTAAAGTTCAAATTGCATTACCGTTATTATGTAAACAAATAAAGCAAATGGAACAAAGTTGAACATATTTTGAGTGCAGACATTTTTGAACTTTTTGATGCTTTTTTTGTATAGCATTTTCAAAATGCATAAAGATCGACTACAGAACATTAATATACAATATGTATATATGTATGTATGTATGTACCCCATTATAATGTCATATGCGTACATACATATGTATGTGTGTATGTGTGTAGATCAAAAGCGCTAAATAAATGAATAAATAAATAAAGAATAGTTAGGTATATTAACTAATTAACAAACCCAATATCTATAAATATCAACTAAAAGGATTTTTAATAAATAAACCTACACAATAAACCACATATATGCGCTTAATTAAGTAAAATTAAATTAATGTATTTATGCTAAACTACACACTAAAAATGAAATTCATTTTAACTAATTGCATACATATATGCAAATTCATAAATACTTATTAAAGAGCTTAAAGGAGGCAGCAAAGTAAAACGAAAAACCCCAATTATTTAAATAATTGTTAATGTGTATTAACATGCTTAAATAGCAAGCAATTTACTTGTGTATAATAAAAGCATTATATAATATTATATAATGTACAATATGACATTGAGAAAGCCCAAATAATGGGATAAAAGCACACACACACAGCTGTGAAAATATCTCTACAACTATTATTAACTCATAAAAGTGTCAGTATTTACTCAAATCCTTCATTCCATATTATTATTTATTCCTGAACAAATACAGTGCTATGGGAATGCATTATACAACTATATACAAATTGCAAATCAAAAGCATACTTAATGTAAAACAATAATCATGACGGCTAACTAAACTGACAAAAATAGTACATAACGCAACAGCATGATTTAACATTATATAGCCTCAGAGTCGACAATATATAAGCCTGTTAAGAAGGCATACATAATGCTGAGTATGCAAACTAAACATGTATTGTTTATATCATGAACATGGATAAAAAGAAGGAATGGATAATAAAGGACACACAGACCAAAACACAACTGCGTATTTATTGCAATAAACAAACAGTCCAGTTCATTTCAAATCACACTCCCTGTTGTTACGTTTATAATTTATATTTCTTTGTGCTTAAATATTTAATAACTATACATGTGCTTGACAAAAATTGTACACAAGTTTTC